TTTTATTTTTTATTTCTTCCGCGTGAGCTAGTCAGCTAGTCTATACGGCTGCAATGTCCCATTTCACTTAAATTAAAGTTGTTCAACGGGCCTCTCTGAGTTGGCCCCGGCCCCTCGTACGCCGTCCAAAGATCCGGGACGCTGTAGTCCCGAGAATGGAAGCGAAAATACGTATATATAGAATACTTAAAAAGATTGATATGCCCTTGACCTTGTCTCAAGAGGAAGCGCAATCGTTCGTTATCGGTAAATGTAGCGTGTTTTAGTTTATTATCCAGAAAATTGTTTAGTCGATTATTGTATTTTTTTATGGAATAGGAGGCAAACGAGCAGACGGATCACCTAATGGTAAGCGATCAGCGCCGCCATGATTGTTGCCGGACTTTTAACAAGGAGTTCGCGCAATTCTTAATGGTCTGAAGGTCGTATCGGTTCGAAAATACCGCCAGTGAAAGACCATTCCAATATTTTGCTGTGTGAGGCAGAAAGTTTTGCGAAAATCGCCTATTGTTGACTGTCAACCATCTATATGATGGGAACTAGGTTATATTTCCACTCGCGTCACTGTTCCAGGTTCTTTCTATAAACGCACCTCAAAGACTGCGCGCATCAATGAGACAATAGACCACCTCAGATGGCGCCCAAAAGGACTGATGTTTAGCCGGGTTGTGGCAATAATTTAGCGCGGCCCCGGCCGGAGAGGAAATGGAATGGGACGGTTCTTAGTAAGAATGAGTCTGACACTCCCTCTCGTCCAATCAAGGTCGGAAGAAGTCATTTGATGAATTTGCCAACTTAACCTGCGTCGTGGTAGCCCGAAAGTTCACGTGCCCGCTTCTTGTGCATGAGGGCGCGGATTCCATACCAAAGTATCACTGTGAATTATTTCCGAATTATATAAATAATTTTCATTGACAAAATACTTTTATAAAATAAGTAGCTACCTACTCTCGCGCGGTTTCACCCGCTGCTCGCCTCCTTTTAATTGTAGCGTAATGTTTTATATACCTATGCCTATAGCACTCAGGAACATTGTAGCTATCTATCAGTGAAATAATTTTGGCAATCCGACCAGCGGTTCCAAAGATTACCCCCTACATACAAACTTACAAATTTTACCTCTTTATAATATTAAGTATAAATAAAAATGGAATAAGTACCTAAGTACTAAAGTAATTAAATGACTGCATAGTATAAAAAAATCGGTTTCTCAGTCCCTACATCCCAATGTTCCTATGCTTAAATCTAGGCTAGGCGGGGCGGTAGGTACCTAGGTTACCTATTTATTACAAAAATTAAAAAGAAGATTAAAATTGAGTGCCTTGTATCTAACCGAATTGTTCTTTATTGTGAAAACGTCGATTTTAAACTCCCGTTTATTTCTGAACTTGAAAATATTTCAAACAACTTTTTATTGTTCTCATTGTCGAAACTGCCTACTGCACGAAACAGCTGTTTCGATATCTATAAATACAAAAATAACAGTATGTTTAACACTGTCAAGTTTATAATAATCAGTATCAGGTTGGGGGTCAAGCGTTATAATGTACCTACTGCGGCCCTGGCTTAGAGCAATTGAAGGAACGGGGAGGTTTTTAGTCAGTAAGAGTCTGACACTGGTTTCCTCGCGACGTCTTCCTTCGTCGTACCCAGGTATACATAAGTAGTAGTTATATTAGTACATAGTAAGTTATATTGGTGTCTAAATAATGTTAGAAACGTACGTACCTATAACTTGGAAAAAATGTAGATGTAAAATGTTATATGATTAAAGCAGACATTTTAAAATCAATTTAAATTGAAAAACGCTATAAAAAGACGGTAGATATATTCATATTTTAAAAAAGCACCACAGGAGGTGAATATTTCGTGTGTCCCACGGTGCTCTTGAAGATTTCGAATAAGTACTTCTTACTTGTAGACCATTGACCTTTGAGTATGTTTAAGTGTTCAAATTAATTATGTCTAGGTGTAGGTCTACATTATCGGATAAATGGATGGTTTGCAAAAATATGAATGAATTTTTACTTACGGCATCGGATTCCCGAACGCTCCCGTACAAGCCAGTAAAACTATAGCACACCACCGAATCATCTTCGCGTATGTACTACATATCACACGATCACAAGCGTATTTATACCTAATCTAGGGGTTATCTCCATTCTCTACCACTCGGTTATAATTAAAGCAACAAATAGTTTGATAATCAGGTATTTATCATCTGTATTTTTGTTAAATTGTGATGTTCGCGTAGATATTTTTAACGGCCATTTTTTTAACGTTTTCGCGCCAATTGTCAAAATTTGACATATCGAAATGAAAAATAATAAAGATTATGATGAAGATTATTTAATAAATTTAGGTACCTATAAAATATTATTACACATTGTGTATTTTATTAGGTACCAGTTCCATCCATAAAGGTACAGTATTTTAATTGACAGTTTCCAAAACAGTTCAAAATTTCGAAGGAACGGACTATTTTATTTCATTCGTATTTTGATGCATGTTTTTCATATTTATTATTAGCCTATCTCTGAAAAGTAGAGGGGTGCCTAATGGCGCTCTCACCTTCCCTCCCTCCACATTTTTTTGGATCGAAGTTGAATATCGCGCTTTGCAAAAGGGGGCTAGAACAGGTGCTCAGCCGAACTGCCGAACTTGCGGGGTAAGCGCATGAGATGAAACAGGATGGTGTTAAGTCTGTAAGTCCTTTTTGCCAGGGCAATATATTATCAAATGACTACTCCCGCCCAGGGTAAGGCGAGAGAGAGTGTCAGACTCTTACTGACTAAAAACCCCCCTGTTCCTTCTCCTGCTTTAGGCCGTGGCCGCGGTGCCTCATTGCGCTTACCCCGCAACCCAGGCTGAACATCAGCCCTGTAGGGCCCCGTCTGTGGTGGTCTATTGGCCCTTTGAGGCGCGCGCGGTACGCTAAGTCTGTAAGAGTCTGACACTCCGTCTCGCCTTATAACCTGGGTGAGAGAAATGGCTTGAAGAAAACCTCAACTTCCTCCTGATTTTCCCACTGTAATATTTGTAAGTACCTACGTAATGGGAAATTTATATGCGAAATTATGAAATCAGAACGTCAATCAATCTACACATATTATTATACCTACTTATTTTTTATCTAATCTGTTCCGTCTAGGTTTTGAGTTAATTTGTGGGAAACCAAACATATGGTCATCGACTCTTCAGAACTGTTCCAAATACTTGCTAATCCAAACTGATATTATAAATGCGAAAGTAACTCCGTCTGTCTGTTTTTTCTTCACGCCTAAACTATTGAACCGACGTCGCCCATGGACATCTGCAACACCAAAGGAGTTACGAGTGCGTTGCCGGTTGCTGGCCTTTCAAGGATAAGGGTCTTGGATATTTAAGGATTGGAAAGGTGGGGGTGAGGATTGGGTCTCCAGTAACGTCACTCACATGGCGAAACATAACGCTGTGGTTGTTTCACGGCGGTTTTCTGTGAGGCCGTGGTATCAATCCAGTCGAGCCGACCCATTCGTGCCAAGAATATAGCTATCCTACACGTAAAGCGTTTACAAACAATGGTCCATACCTTACCTACAAATTACATCTAGACCCGGAAACACTTTTTGCGACTAACACTATATAATATTCATCCATGCGGGAATCGGCCCCCGGCACGTTTCACGTCAACTGAAGGCCTACCATGATGTGTTTAAGCGTCAATTTTCTGGGCGAGAAAGAGGGATGGAGCTATACACCTTTTATAGCGCCATCCCTTATGCTCATAGAGGAATAATCCGTGGTTAGGTTATGTGGATAGGTACTCTTTGCTCAGGCTTTACCACAGAATAATAGGTAGATACCTACTATTGATTGACGTTTTAGCACGTCCTTTAGAGTATATATGTTCTGTGCCCTCTGTTCAGGGAATACATCCCGCTAATGCCAACAGGCGTTTAAAAATAAAAAACAAACCATTTTAAAACAATTATATTTCAATACCCTCATTATACGTACGTTATAATAATAATTATTACATGTCATTATTTTAATGGTTGCTTCTCTATTACATAATGCGGTTTCGGGAAAGCAGCCATTAAAATTTAATGCCTATATATTTAACATATAGTACAGACATATTAGTAGTTATTTTTATACTCATTCACAGCAATTATTTTGTGATATTTTTAATAGGGGTCAAAAAATCCATACCTTTATGTTTTCCTGGGGTCATTAGACACGTGTATAATTTTCTGAATAAACAATTGAAGATTGATATATTTTTAGGCGGCAGTGTTGGTGTCAGTTTGGTAATAAAAAATATTATATTGTAGGTAACAAAGAAATTAATTTTGAAATTGACTGAAAAACAGTGACTAAGGAGTTTATTAATCGAACATGGTTATCCACATACAAGCAAATAATCGAGTTTTAATAAATTTAATAATGATTTTTGGTCTTTTATGTGAGAAGAGGAGTTTGTTTAGTAGGGACAAAGTTATGGGAATAATGTATTTTTTTTTTAATCTTTTCCAATTATGTATGCCCGTGTCTGGTCGGGCGGCCAGCTACCCTTTCTCGCCGTCCGCAGACCCGCGCGTACGGCGCCCGGAATGTCGCTTACTGCGGCGTCTGGGGCGTGAGGAGGGCAGGTCGCAGTCCGCCTGCTTCTTTGCGAGCATAACTGCTTTACAGGAGGTGGCGTCCCAGTTCCTCTCCCTCCGCACCATGACCTCGATTAAGGCCGGGCGCGAGAGGTCGCCGCTGCCGATAACAAGTGTCATACTCTAACCTAACTAACAGAACATTTTACCAAATGCCACAACGAGACCGACCTTCTTCTGCTCCAATCCCTCCCCAATTCTTGAATCCTTAATCCTAATCCCCAAAAATACGGCAATGCACTCCTAACTCCTCAGTTGTTGCAGATGTCCATGGGAGACTTCGATTGCTTACCATCAGGTAATCCGTCTACTCATTTTCCGAAGAATCACACAAAAAAAATGATTACAAATATATTTTTTAAATTTATTATCCCCTCTTATAACCCCTAGGACGAATAAAACCCATGACAATATGGTACAATACATATTTATAAATTCTTTTTTATTTTATTTTATTAAGCTACATATCGGCCGGGGGTTGCCATGTGACAGAAGATATTTTTCTATTAATTTCTTGTAATATGAGGCGACATCTTGCTAGTTGTGGGGGTCTTAGTTGCGGTGTGGGGTCTCTAGTCCTTTCGCCGTTGTTATTGCCGGGCGGGGGTCGTTGGGCACGACGGAGGGCGCGACGACGGCGGGCGCGAGCTGTGGAGTTTTAGGTTATGTTTTAAAATAGATGAATTTAATATTAAAGTATATCTACTCAAATGTCGTGGTGGCCCGGAGGTTAAGCAGCCCGCTTTTCATGCATGTGGGTTCGAAACCTGGCAAGTACCAATGTGATTTTTTCCGAGTTATATGTACTTTCTATGATTATTTAGACACCACTGACATACCTACGGTGAAGGTAAACATCGTGAGGAAACCTGGACTTATAATTTCTCAATATAAGTTTGCAATCGCCAACCCGCATTGAGCAAGCGTGGTGATTAATGCTCAAACCTTGTCCGTGTGAGAAGAGGCCTTTGCTCAGCAGTGGGCATTTATAGACTGATGATGATGATAATATCTACTCAGTAATATTAAAATAGTTTACTTATTTAACTATCCAGAACTACCAGTGATGCGTGTAGTAGGTAATCTCTTCCTTAGGAACAATGCTTAATATTTCGGTAGATACATAACTAGTTTTTAACTTTTTTAGATTTACGTACTTAAAGTGTGGGAGAGAGAGAGAGCCATGCTTATGCACAAAAGGTTCGGCCCGACCGGAGTGATACCACGGCCTTACAGAAAACCGCCGTGCATTAACCGCAGCGTTGTGTTTCGCCGTGTGATTGCGGTTACCGGAGGACCAATCCCTCCCCTCCCCGAATACGGTAGTTTCCAACTAGTCAAATTGAATACTTTTATCCAAATGTCAAAAACTATACTTTTCTATGAAATTTGTATGAACAACTGAGTTATGAGGTCATAGTATTTTTGCGTCAAATAGCTTACTTATTTCTAAATAATAAGCTACAAGATATCTAAAACTTAGCGTATCGACCGATCGATGGATAAAAGTATAATTATTTCAATATTGTATTGTATTGAATTGTCGAAATAATTTATTTTTGACCTAGGAAACTACCCAATTCCTAAATCTTCAAATACCTAATCCCCAAAAGGTCGGCAACGCACTTATAACTCTTCTGTTGTTACGGGTGTCCATGGGAGGCGCTGATTGCTTACCATCAGGTAATCCGTATGCTCATTTGCCGACCAATCACATAAGGAATACCCATAAAGATCGATACTGGTAAGCGTGACAGAAATTACTGGTGGGCGCGCCGAAGTTGTGTTAGGTATAGTAATAAAAACTAAACTAATTCGTATTTTTTTTTTATGTGATAGGACGGCAAACGAGCAGACGCATTACCTGATGGTAAGCAATCAGCGTCGCTAATGGACACCCGCAATAAAGAAGGAGTTATGAGTGCGTTGCCGGCCTTTTAAAGATTGGGATTTTAGGGATTTAGGGATTGGGGTAGGGGAAGGATTGGGCCTCCGGTAACCTCACACACACGGCGAAACACAACGTTGTGGTTGTTTCACGCCGGTTTTCTGTGAGGCCGTGGTATCACTCCGGTCGAGCCGACCCATTCGTGCCGAAGCATGGCTCTCCCACACTTGTATAGAAAAATAGTTTCTTTGGGAAAGTTATTTGCCATCATGAGTACAATTACGTATTTAAATATTGGTCACTAATACCAGTCACCCTATACCTATATTTACACTAATCTAAACCTAAACCTTGCAGATACTTACCGCTTTCATTTTTATCCTTTGGTTTTGTATCTTCATCCATTGAACGTGATAAGGACCTCTTTTTTGGAGACTGGAAATAATAATTTTTGGATATTATTAATCTGTATCTTTTAACATACACAACTTTTAACATGGAGAGAGGGGTTTAGTCAGTAGTCTCAATGACTTAACAGACCACCAGACGGGGCCCTATAGGATGTTCAGCCGGAGTTGTGGGGCAAGCGCAATAAGGCACCGGCCTCAGGCTAGAGCAGGATAAGGATCGAGAAAGTTTTAGTCAGTGAGGGTCTGAGTGTGGGAGAGCCATGCTTCGGCACGAATGGGTCAGCTCGATCGGAGTGATACCACGACCTTACAGAAAACCCTTGAAACAACAACAGCGTAGTGTTAGGTTAGGTTGTGTAGGTTACTGGAGGCCAAATCCTTCCCCTCTCCCAATCTCTCCCCAATCCCAAAAAATCCAAATCACTAATCTCCAAAAAGTACGGGTGTCCATGAAGTGTACGGGCGGCGCTGATTGCTTTCCATCAGGTAAACGACTTGCTCGTTTGCCGACCTATCTCATAAAAAAAGACACCATCTCGCCATACCTTGGGCGATCAGTCTTTGGATGAGGAGTTCTTTTTTTGTGGGGGGACACAAAGAAAAAGGTTCGTTATCAATGATAATTCTACTCACCCTTCTCTTGATCTGTTTCTGGTAATGCTGAGCATCATAGAACTGTGGTTGAGATCTCCGCACTCTACCCGTGCGTCTCCTTATATCTTCTACAGCGGGGAGACAGTCCGCTCCTCGTCGAGCAGCGAAGAATGTGTGCCCACATTTACAGGACTTGGATGCCACTGCTACCTGTAAAGTTTTATTTATTATTAGTAGCTAGCCACCAGCACGTACGCACGGGTTTAAACGCTAAAATTAACGAATCTCCTGTTAAATCTCTTGTCAAGTCATCTGATTGGTTATTGATAATCCAATCAACCAATCAGATGACTTGACAAGAGATTAAATTAATTTTAACATTGATCGGCCTTTCGGAAACCGGGTGTAAATGTATCCAGTAAATCTATACTAATATTATAAAGAGGTAAAATTTGTAATTTTGTATGTAGGGGGTAATCTTTGGAACCGCTGATCTGATTGCCAAAATTATTTCACTGATAGATAGCTACAATGTTCCTGAGTGCTATAGGCTATAAAACATCACGCTACAATCAAAAAGAGTCGAGTAGCGAGTGAAACCGCGCGGGAATAGCTAGTCTATTAAAAAAGCGCATCATCCGTGGTGTATTTTTTTTTTGTCACGGTTAAATCATTAAATGGCTTCTCCCGCCCAGGGTTAGGCGAGAGAGAGAGTGTCAGACTCTTACTGACTAAAAACCCCCCGTTCCTTCTGCTCTGGGCCAAGGCCGCAGTGACTCATTGCGCTTAACCTGCAACCCCGGCTATCCGTGGCGTAGTTTTAAAGAATTTTGGCCTCTATCTCGCCTGGTAAGAGATGATGCGACATACGATGGAGCATGCCTCCATCTCACAACTTACCCATAAGCAACCTATTAATTCGGGCCTTGAAGACGAACAAACTTATAGATACACTTCGGCTAACAAAGACTCCGGCAAATAATTCAAATATTTAGCGGTTCTGAGAAAACATAATTTTTCAACTGATTTTAAGTTATTGGTAAATTATTCAGAAAGGAGGGCTGACGTCTAGTCTGGACAGTCACAAACTGGTTCATAAAGGTATATCAAGGGTGTATGGTTCCAATGAAAACTGTTTATTCATATTGGTAGCTATGTAACTGACTATTTGAAATTTTCTTGTCTTTTAATGCTCTTATCATTTATCCAAACTTAATATTATAAATGAGAAAGTAACTCTGTCTGTCTGTCTTTACTTCACGCCTCAACTACTGAACCTATTTCTGTGAAATTTGGTACAGACATAGTTTGGAACTCAAGAAAGGACATAGGATAGTATTTATACCAAAAATCTGCAGGAAGTCACTGTTCCATGTGAGCTAAGTCGTGGGAAAAGCTAGTTTGTACATATTTATTGAAAGTAAGTACATAAGTACCTACATAAAAAGTTATGGTTGATACAATTGGTTGTGAGTACAATAGATGGTCTTATCACATGAGTTAATTTACTCCAGACAATCTTTTGACGTCTGAGAAGAAATAAAAGTACAAAATTTTTGTAAAACCTATTTTATAAGTTTAGACTATTTATTTCCAAAGAGGTCCAAGTGGACTTCTAGGGGTCCACAGGAGCCCGACTGGATTCCATGCTTGCATGACTAAATGGATAGATTTAATGGGGGTCCACCACGGAGCAAGATTGTTCTTACTCTAAGGGGTCCACAACTCATATAAGGGGGCATATAAAATTCTTTTCAGTGTAGTTTAAGTATATAGTTTCTTTTTTACTATGGAAAATGGGACGCTACATACAGGCAAAGACACAATAAACAAAAATTACAATATTGATATGTAACAATTGATTTTGTAGATTTGAAAAATATTTTATTTGAGTAAAACATTTTACAGTATAATAAAAAATATCTTAGAACCATAATTAAGAAACCTCAACCATGAAGTATTAAGAATTGTAATGCCATAAAAAACAATGTCAATTATTTTTATTCTTTGCCAATATAAACTTTAACCCAATGACATAAAGCCTAATTTAGAATAAATATAAAACTTGCACAATTCAGGATTTCTACTCAAATAGGTACCACTACCTTGTCATAGCTACGTGTAGAAAAAATACAACTGAAAAAAATCGATTTATAAACTGACCTGTAACTCGCATTTTGGACAGCTTTTTGCAATCATTTTGTGTTTACCCATTTTGGTTTAGAAGTAAAATTCACTTTTTCATTACTATCTAATTATTTCTAACTATAATTTTAAATTTTAAATTAATTAAAATAATAAAAACAAATGAAGACAATTTTCTATTGTTGACAACCAATTTGACTGAAGAGAATTTTTGACACTGACAGGTCACAGACAACTAACTAAACGATGGATGGGTGGAAAGATCAAACATTCAAAATTTACCAAAATGTAATGAATTATTATTATTTTAATTACATAATATTATAACAATTAAATAAAGTTTCATTCAATAATCATAATTTACGTAAATCATTATGTTTTTTGCATTTCGGGATAAATGTCATTTCCATTGAAATTGAAAATGTTTGATATCAATGAAGAATATAAAATGATTTTATTTTTGTTTTCTTTTTCCCTGAATTTTGGTTAGTTTTTCTTGACAGTTGGTAATCGCGAAATGTGATGACGTCACAGCGCAAGCGACGACTGACGTATTATTTGTAAACATCGCGCCGAAGAGAAAGTTGAATTATTATTAAATTCGTTTTATGTGAAATGGATTTAGTAAATGAACCGCAAACCTATAAAACTTCACATTTACTACCGGCGTATTATAAAACATAGATTACAAAATGAAAAAGTAAGTACCAATATTCTGCAAAATGAATTTAAAAAAATATATATTGTAGGATGCACGCCCACGTAGCATAGTCAAGATTAGTGTAATTGAATAAAAAAAAATTAAGAAAAATAAATCCTATTGGTCATGGATACAGTTGATTTAATTTTTTTATCTGACATGGGTAATTTCGATAGTATTTAATTGAAAAATTCGAAAGCTATTTTAATAGCGTAGTTTTTCATTACCCATAACACTTATTGTTATTATGAACAACTGTGAAATTATAATTACTAGCAATTTAGAACTAAATTTGTATTTGTAATAAGTACCTTGTTAAAAATACATTGAAATCTATGTAGGTACTTAAAGGCAATTTATGATCGATTATTTATTAATTATTTATATATATAATTAACGAAAACTATAAGAATTTATTAAAGTGTTCAAATAGTTTGTTCTAATATATGTTTTTTAATAAATTCAAAAGCAATCAGATAATCCTGGCTTCTAGATATTATGAATTTATATTATACTGGCTTCTATAAAAGTAGCTTATGTGTTATTCCAGGATATTATCTATATACTTACTAAATTTCACCCAAACCAGGTCCAATCTTTTTTGGGTGAAAGAATCACAAACACATATTCCTCATTCCACTTTCACATTTAAAATATTAGTGGGATTTAGATTCAAAACTAGAATATTCTAGATCTCATATTTGATTAATTCTTCAGTAGATATTTAGATTCAAAACTAGAATATTCTAGATCTCATATTTGATTAATTCTTCAGTAGATATTTAGATTCAAAACTAGAATATTCTAGATCTCATATTTGATTAATTCTTCAGTAGATAGTTATTTGTTTCAAAACATAAATAACTGAACCAGAATTAAATGTCATTATAAAAATAGATAGATTTTTTATTTAAGTAGTTGAACAGCCATTTTAAGAGTTTTTTTTTTTAACTCTGAGTATAACCACAGTGTATGGTAGAATTTTATCACCTCACCACCTAATACACCACCACCTAATAGTCTATAACAATCGATGGACTATGTGCTGCTTCTACCTACCATGCATTGCATGAACATGTATCCATTAATATTTCCAAACAGAATGTCTTAATTATCTGTATGCACATGCCTCTTGTTTTTTAGTGTGAAATAAAAAAAATCTTAATTCATCAAACTTGTTCATGCACCTATTGTCTTATTATTCTTGGATGTGTATGTAATCTAGATGTTTTTTAGGGAGAAAAATCATTTTTTTTATTACATTACTGACTAAACCTGTCGAGCCTGGGCCGTGGTTGCACTTGCACCAATCCCAACCAGACATGTAAACTAAGATGACTTTCTGAAATGTGTATAATGGAGTATAAACCCTACTATTCTATTCCTTACTAATATTATAACAGTGAATGTATGTGACAATGTATGGATTGTATGATTATTCATTCACACAAAAGCATCTGGACTGATTTGTTTGAAAATTGGTATGTAGGTCGGTGATGCCCTGTATTAACACTTAGGATGCTGTTTATAAACATACCACGCAGGCGAAGCAACGTGTGGAAGCTAGTATTATAAAAAATCGTATTCAACTCGTCAATCATTATTTTTATATATGTATATTTTTTAATTCTATCATAACAATCATTACTTTTTAAATTCCAGAAACAATACAAAGCACAAATGCGTGGCCTGCAAAAAGCAGTTTTATTACAACTGCTTGCTCAAATACCATATACGGAGAGAACACTTCAACCTGAAAGCCTTCAGACCGTATTGTGAAACGCAAAATGTTAACCAAATATGGTTCGAAAGAGTCTTAAACACAAACTTCTTAGCTAAAATGACGAAAATATCCAACAATGAGTTAGCCGTACAGAAACTGAAGGAAGGTACAAATATAAAACCAACGGAGATGGAACGTGAAGAGTGGAATTTAAATTTTTTGTATCCAACTAACGGTAAACAGCCGTTGAAGTGCAGAATATGCTCAGAGACTTATACAAGGGAGAAATTTATGAAGCATTGTAAAGAAAGCCACGGGTTGGTATTGAAAAAATACTGTGAAAAATGCAGAAAAAAATTTAAAAGTGCTATGGCTGGTGCTAATCATGTATGTATGAAGACTAACGTTGAGTAAGTCTGGATTTTCACATTCTGGATTGTTACATCGGTCCATTGTATAGTTTTAAATCAATTACTTACTTATTAACTTGTTCAAAGATGGTCGACTCTCTTGATATTGGCACATTTACAGTACTAGCATCTCTCGCGCGGTTTCACCCGCTGCTCGGCTCCTACAGATCATAGCCTGATGTTTTATAGCCTATAATAGGCTTCCTCGATAAATGGACTAGCAAACACAAAAAGATCTGTACAATTCGAGCCATTAGTTCCGGAGATTAGCGCGTTCCAACAAACATACTCTACAGTCTTATAATATTCATAGAGATTTGACTACTCAAGTACAGTGGCTGGACAAGTGACTATTGTACGCAGTGTCGTGGGTTCTTTATCGTTACGAAACAATTCTTTGTGTTATCTGTAAAATGTTGTGGTGATGTGCATGTGAAATTGTATTTTTGTAAACTCATTCAAAACACAGGCGAATATCGGAGTTAGGGAAACTTTGTATTTAAGCAAGGTAAAAATGTGAGGGTGGGTAGTATAAAAAACACTACTATTTCATTCTTTCTTATGATTTTTAATGGTTAGATAAAAGTTACCTGGGGAATAATTATGATGCTGTCGCGTCAGAATGTTTGCTTAAGACAGAGACAGCAACAATTTTATTCCTCAGATAACATTTATCTGACTATTGAAAAATCAGCCCTTATTCAAATTAAGCAATTGATGTGTGCTACCGGTTTTCGCTCAGTAGATGTCGCTAACAATCACTGCACGGTTGGCGTAGTGGCTGGGCTGCTGCGCTACGTGTCGCGGTTTCGATACTCCTTCGAAACAACACTTTGTGATCAATAATTTTTTGTTTCGTGTCTAGGTGGCTTATTTATGTTAATTTGTATGTTTGTAAACAAATTCTCGACACAGATGAAAATAAATCTTAGTGTGATCCAACGTTTCATAAAAATTATTCTAGATTAACACTCTTCAAAATGTTCAATTGTGTGCAAATACCCTATAATTCCCGAAAAGAAAAAAATGCGACGTACACACCAGCGCCATCTGTTGAGCAAAAATTCATAGCCCCCATCACATAGACGGCCAAAGAAAATATGGATAGATTTTGTGAGGGTATGTTATGAAAGAGAATGGAGGTTGTGATGCGATAAGGTCTTATAAGGAATGATTGAAGAAAGTTTTGATTATCACAATTTGTTAGCTTGGGCTAGGCAAAAATAAATTAAGTATATAGTATTTTATTAGTGATTTGGCAGTTATGGCTACATACATATTTATAGATATAGTTTATTAAACGCTAGAAATCCGCACTATAACACGAATGCAAGGCTGATACTAAATTTCTCCACTATTAAATGGATGTTATTATTATTATGATACGTATAAACCTTCCTCTTCAATCACTCTATCTATTAAAAAAGCCGCATCAAAATCCGTTGCGTAGTTTTAAAGATTTACGTAGAAATGTAGGTTCAGAGAAAGCGACTTTGTATTTATTATACTACCCATAGTAATTTAGAATAATGATCACTTAGTTTATAAGAAAAAAAAACTGTTTAATCAATATTGTGGTACATGGTGCTTTTCCATTTGACTGCAGGGCGAAAATTTGTTGAATTTACGGAAGTTAGTAAGCATTATACATATAATGGTTACATAAAACTTATATTATGTATTTAAAAAGGTACAGTAAATTAGTTGTAGGTGCGGTTTCGAAACCTTACAAGTACCAATGTGACTTTTTCTAAGCTATATGTACTTTCTATGATTATATAGACACCACTCTCAAACGGTGAAGGAAAACATCTTGAGGAAACCTGGACTTAGTCCAAGTTTCAGTCACGATGATAGAAGTTTGAAATCGCCAATTCGCATTGAGAAAGCGTGGTGGTTAATGATTAAACCTTCTCCGTGTGAGAAGGAGGCCTTTGATCAGCAGTGGGCCCTTATAGGCTGATGATGTGGTGACAGTAAATTTGACTGAACGGACGCGGTGACTGGGCAACCGGTTGCAGAGAGCTATCGCGGATCCGATTTACCCACGGATTAACTTTGTACGAAAATAAAGATTGTCTCAATAAAGACAGTAACAATTGTTAGGCTGGCTACTGGACCGACCATAATCCCTACCGTTCCTTCTCCTGCTCTAGGCTGAGGCTGCGATAACTTGTTGCGCTTGACCCGCAAGAAAATTTTAGTGTGGGGAACCATGATTCGGCATTAATGGGTCCGCTCGACCGGAGTGATACCACGGCCTCATAGAAAACTAGTGTAAAACCACATTTACGTTGTTTAGCCGTGGGAGTTGAGAGGTTGTGAAGTTACCGGAGGCGTTCTTTCCCATCCTCAATTCTCAAATCCCTAATAATTTACAAGAGGCTGGAAACGCA